ATGAGCAATGTGTCAAAGTCACCTAAGATGTAATATTGTCACCCTATTATGCAGCATGTGTAAGACATACTCTCATTTATGTTTTTTTATACTAGCTTCTCTAAAACTTGTACTAGCTTATTAATATTAATTCATTGTTAAAGGGTTTTCCATTCTTATGTAGATCTATTCTGTATTAAAAAAAAAAAAAACTGAAAAAATAATTAATACATATTTAGTACTTTACTTTCCATATGTATATTTATAAAGCAACTTATTTATGCAGGTTTATGCATCACAAAGGAAATGTAACAGAAATTTTGATGTAAGCTGTATTTTTACTGTTGTGTAATAGTGAAACTTTGGCTCTGTATTTAGGTATATTTGTTTTTGCTTTATAAATATTTTTCCTTTTCATTTATTTTTAAATGTTTATTAATAAAGAAAAGATATTCAAAATGTAATTTATTAATAGTGATAAAACATTTGTAGCATTACTCATTACGCTAGCCATTTAAATTTCATTTCCTCTTACTTGTGTAATTACATACTACTTAAGAAATAATCAGTAATTTATTTTCATTAGTTGATTTTCATTTTTATGGTAAAAATTTTATTTATTTAAGCCCTATGCCAGTACGTGGCTTGTCAAAATACAAATGACTATTTATCAGATGATAATGTAAAAAAAAATTTTGAAAATTGTATTGCAATATTAGGTTTCTAAATTTCGGCATGGTGCCTTTGCAGTTATTAACTATATTCAATGGCTATTATTAAATTGTGAAAGTTAACTTGATATATTTGATTAGGACAACCATCTATACCGTTTAGGTTATTGATTTTTTTTAAACAGACAATTACAAGTTATGTTTTATGAATATCGTTTGATATATTTTATGACTGGTAGAGAAAATATTGTTTTATTTACTCCCCTTTACTTCTTTGAAATCACTGTTAATAAAAAAGTATTTATGTATTAAAATCAATAACTTTTATAAACTCATAATTGTATTCTAATGGCAAGTGGACATTTTTGAATAAAATAATGTTAAAAGAAGGAATATTTGAAATTATATAAAATTGATTGATTTTTGTTTGATAGATTCAAGTTGTTTGTTATTGTCATGATAACGTATCCATGCCACAAAAATGTAATACTACCATCTTTAGTTATAGGTTACTATAATAACCTGATTATCATTTGATAACTCATAATGTGGTGAAAATGGTCAGTTTGATTTGTCAAGAAATAATCATTCATGTATGTGCCAGGTTTTAAGTTAATCACATCATATATGAAATTCTATGTTTGTACTACTCTATTCACTTAATGATTTCAAATGAAAAAAAAAATAAACTTACTCATTAATCTGAATTAGTTAGTTGTAATTATTAAACAAAGTAAATTTGATAATAATTCTATGACACAACGCCTCTCATTAAATATAAGTTAGTTCCATTGGTCTGTGCATATAGTGTGCTACTTTGGTAATAATTCCTAATTTTTTATGAGTATGAGATTTGAGGATCCTGATTATCTCTTTTAAATTCCTTTGTTGAAGATTTGTGTGATTTTCTTAGATTTTAATTTAATCAATTGTAAAAAAAAGTATACATGTAAAATGAATAAAAGTGAATGGATTAAAAAAAGAAATTTAATAAAATTGGATGATGAATTACTGCTTTAACCATTCATTCTTGTATTTTTATAGTTTTAATGATAGTAAATCATATTCAAATAATATTTATGTCTTATGTAATTTACAATATATCTATATATATATATAATAATTTGTATTTTTTGTTTTGTTTTGTTCCACAACAAAGAAGTTTATTTAAATTTAGTATGTTGACAGATTTTCAGAAATATATTTTGTAATTGATAATTGTTTGTGTTTTGTTTCCTTTAAATTTCTTTTATTCCTGCAATTTTATTAGCAATATGATCTATCAATTCCTGAGAATTATATTTTAATAATATCAGGTTATCTCACTTGAAATATTTGTGAAGAAATTAATTGGTTTAAGAATAATTAAATCATACTAGTTGATTTCAAACAATTCTCTCAAGAAAATGAACCTTTTATTTGTCATTTTTTTAAGGAAGTAAATAATCTGTGATGTTGGAAGTATACAGTGATCATGCTGAATCACTAGATGGCCTGATTGAGCAATAAACCTATGCTTACACCTCGATATTGAAGTTTTGCTATAATTACTTATCAGTAAATTGTAATTATTCAACTTTACCCATTTCTTAAATTGTATTTTTCCAAATTGGTTTTTATTTTAAATTATTTACTTTTTTTTCTACGTAACATGTATAACTGATACCATCTGGAATAATAAAACTTGAGCTAATAAAGAATATTAATAGTGAATTATATGAGCCCTTCAGTTGACAGAATGACTAACTCCAATTTCAACATTTTTTAGTAAAATTGTTTTAGTGATATTTCTAGTATATTTATATCTGTACAGACAGTAAGTTGATTCCATTGTTGAAATATATAACTGTGAATAAAGGTATTATTAATTTTAGTGATGTTTCTAGTGGAAAAATTTACACCTTTATTCATAGTTCAAATACTTTGAAACACAATATTTCAAAACTGCAATCACCTACACTGGAATCAACCTACTCATTGTCTGTATAGATAACGTTTTCCTCTAGAAATATCACTAACATTAATAATAAACAATTTTTGAAATTGGAGTTGAGTCATTCTGTCTACTGAAAGGCTCATATCTTTAAATATATTGCTTAATATAATTGGGATTCTAAAATATTTAATTAATCATTGGCTAAAACTGGACAACTAAGAATTTTAATAAATAAATAAAATTCAGAAAGAAAAAAAATGGAAAAGTTTATATTGTAATTTAGAAGATAAATGAAGAATTTCTTACAGAATGACCAAAAAAATTCTGAAGATAGCTGTTTTTAACACCCCATCATATTGGAATATACATTTCCAAAAATTTTATAACTATAGCTATTAAAATTACAAATCTGTGCCCTGAAGGTGAAGGACACCATGTCCATTTTTTAATAAAATAATTTAGTAACTAAGAAACAAATTTTAATAGCTCAAAGTTATGGAAAATTGGATCTCCTGAACTAATACAAAAATGTGACATGGTGTCTTTTTACCTTCGGTATACAGAAATAAAATAATAATTGAAATGGTATGAATGAGTAGTTTCTCTAAAGCCTGTCTCACTTCACTTTTAATCCCCACATATATTATTACAGTAAGGCTGGAAATCGGTTTTTTAACAAATATAAGCTCCTGTCATGCTCAAATACCATGAATGGGGTACAGTTGGATTCAGAATTTCACGGGAGGTTAGCGAATCGTATTCTTCACTTTTGTTTTTCTTTCTAAAATAAATAAAGTCGATACAAAAATTTTGCTTGCTAGGTTTCGATTCTGGAATGGTGGTAGGTCTGTAGATCGATACGGGACAAATTTGATCTTGATGCGTACAGCAAGACCCGGATAGTTCCCCCGGAACTATCGGATCCTGCCTTTTTAAGCCCAAAAATGTACTATTTTCGAGATAATGCAAGGCATAGGGTTCACATCCACACAATCTTACATTAATTGTAGTACTGTCATTGAATACATGTCTCATTTCATCGACTTGAGGTCTCTATGATCGAGAGAGGAGGAATTTATATTATTTATCAATGGTGTTTTTGATCGACAAGCCATATTAATACATTAAGCCATTATTAATATATTAAGCCATATCGACATAGCCATCGTTAATTTTTCACCAAATCTCAAGATTGAGCCACCAATTTTGAAGGCTCACTTCTCCTTCAGGCGGGCAAAATAGTCCAATCACCCCGAAAATTCAGGCAAACAAGTTATGAAAGAAAACAATTTTATTTGCGAATAACTAAAAAATTACACCCTTTTTCCTGGGTTATGCCCATGATTTTATAAAACATTACTAAATTTTATACAAAATGATAAAAAAATCATCGAAAACGGGCAATTTCTAGCAAAGATACAGCTTACTGAAATTTGTAAACATGTTGGTTCCAAACAAAGATGAAGATTTAAATTAATTTTTGTTTCTTTTGTCGATTATATTTATCGATAAAGGAACAATTGATTTCTTTATCTTTTGATATGTTGCATTATTTTATTTTCTTATTAATTTGGCATTTGATAACAATATGCTGAGCGAATTTTTCGTACGGGCCTACTAGTAGTTGTTATATATTTGAAGACTGGGTATCTATTGCATTAGACAATTTTAGGCAAGCTAAATGCGCTAGCTGTCTAAAAAACAGCTTTGATTGTCTCTATTAATGATTTTGGCATTTACCATTAATGTAGCTAGTAAAAGTAATGAACATGAATAATTTCAAAATTAAAAAAGGTGATTTATAAATAAACTGCAATAAAGTTTAAATAGAATATCAAGTAAGAGAAATTACCGAAAAGTATTGTTATTATGAAGAATTTTGAATTAGTTTTCATCAGAAATATGCATTTTAAAATATCAACATTCTGATTATTTTTAAACTTTTATAAAAAAAACTGGAATGATACTTATTGAGTATTAGTTTCACTTTACTATTTTTTTTTCTATTGGCTATACAGACCTTTTTATTTGCTGCCTTAACCAACCTTCACCATCACTGCCTACCTAGTTGTATGAAGCCGACTTTAAATGCCATTGAGTCATTGATGGCCGAGCATGTTGAAGCCTTTCCTATTTTAACATTCTTGAGTCTAGTGGGTGTCACTTTAACATGTTTCAAATCCAGCCTGAGTGAGTTAAAATTTGTTTCATAGAGGATTCACGGAATGACTCTTAAATTGGAATGTTTGGTTACAAATCTAGAAGACCATATATATATATATATATATTTTTTCTTCTCATCATTAGCACTAACACGGTTGTTAGTAATAATTTTTAGAACTCTTAGAAAAGGAGGCTTCGAAACCCGTAACATAAACATAATTACATATAACTAGTGTTCAACCATTATTATATTATTTGACCATTTGATGTCCTCGGCTTTACATTCCTTTTTCTCAGGTTGAAAAAAATAAATAATAATATTAATTTATTTTCTTTTTTCTAAGGAATGGAATGGTGGCATTAGTGAATGGGAAGTTCTTCATGCTTTGATATGAATCAATCTGTATCGATTAATTTTAAACCCTGGGGAATTTTACTGCTATAAGATGGTATTTCGAATTATAAACACCTTTTTTTAGTTATCTTAAATACTTAAGATTGTAAAGTAGGAAAATAGTTTTGTCTCCAAAATTTGGAGAAAAACATCATAACAAATATTACCGCCTTTTCTTACATTGTTCATTTAATGAAGGAAAATAGTTTAATAATATCTGTTTAAGGTGCCAGCTACCAGTCCATGTTTAATTTTAATGGATAAAAGAGCTGGCTGGAGACCATACATTTTCTATTCCAAAACATGCTCCATATCCAAACAAATGTTACAATTATTTTACTTAACATCATTCAATTAATATTATGGATGATAACTGCAAGTTAAGTAGTTTCAGGGCATTTATTTAGGGCTAAGGTTTCATATTTATCCAAAATTTGGTTACATCAGTGACAGCGATTTTGTATGAAAACATAATGAATGTTCTCATTATTCGTCTAAATTTAATATCTTTTATTTTCATTGATCGTAATACCAATTGATTATATCAGTTTCTTAATTATAAGCATTTAGAGAACAGGAGGATTTTAGTTGTTTTTCTTACAGGAATTGATGAATTAAACTAAATCTTTTTTTTTTTTTTTAATTATTCTCATATTGATTTAAAATATCTATGGTATCCTTTTATCATTATTGTATTCATAGCAATTTTTCTAATCTTATACTTCTGTACATACACTTTTATATGTACTAACAATACAAAACAGTTTAGTACCATTTGTTTACTTTTTTTGTTATTCCCGAATAAAATTCTGAATTTAACTTTACTTTTTATAGAGCCTCTTTTTGGGGAATTATGTTATATAAATAAACTATTAGAGCTTTAAAAAGAAGATTTTAGCTAAGTTACATTAATATCGTTACAGCCATTTTGGCGCTATAGAATATGATTGCAATGTATCAAAATTTCAAAGCATTCGGTGAAGAACATTCAAAGAGTAACACTTTTGAATAAACTAATATTTACGTTTTTATTTATTTACACTTTTTCCAAAAGAAAAAAATGTATTAATAAAACTAAAGCTCATCAATAGCTACAAAACAAAATTAATAAAAGAAAATCTGTAGAGAAACAGAGGAGAAAAAAGTGCTGAACTGTTTTGTCTTTGGCTATTTATATAATGATTAACAAAAGGAACACAGCAAAAAAAGTATAACTTTTTTTTAGGAATTATTGAAAAATTCTTATACATCTTTTTTTTTCTTGCACATGAAAAAAAATTCCCATACCACTTCAGATTTTTGGGAAATCCCCATGGACACCCCGAACAAATAAAAATAAATTACATGGTGGTTATTTTTCTGAATCCATATCCTTTTACAATACAACCAGTTAGATGTACATATAGTTATAATTAATCAGGTTATTTTTAGGAGAAAATACATCCCTAAATAAAATTTATTTTTATTTCACTATGTTTAGTAAGGACAAATACATGTACTTTCAGGATTTTTTTCGCTACTCAATCGATCAAGAAATGTTGTAAATTCAATTTTTTTTTTTTTTTTGCTATTCTTACAACATGGAATGGGTTACAAAAATAAAAAGTTTGATAAGTTTATCAAAGAACGCAAGCAACTGTGATTTCCGACCATTTAAATGGTACTGATGACAAAATCGTTCTTTTTTTTTTTTTTTTCTCTGGAAGCTTATTTTTAATAATCATAAAATCATGATTATAAAATAAACAGTTCAACTATTAAAGATTTACAGTTATCTTTAACACATTCCCATACACATATTGATTTGAAAATAAAATAAAATAAAACAATCTGACAAAATATTTTTACTAAATTTTCTATTAGTTCTTCAAAATAATATTTACAAAGCTAATACATGAGTTGTACCTTTATACATAAATATATTTATACTATGTACAACATAGTTCACACTATATTTTTCTTTTTTTGCAGGTATGTAACTGAAAATTATAGCAAATAAAAATATATATATATAATTCTGGAGATATATCTAAACTATAAAACTAACAATCACAGATGAGATAAAAGAATAAGAATATATTAGACTTTGGACTAATGTATCCCTTAATGGTTACATTAGATTATATATACATAACAATAACAATAACAAAAAAAAAATTAAATTTCATCTTTCATTAGAATATAAAAATTTTGCTTTTGCTCAAGAACAAAATAAATAAAATATATATCCTTCTATTGTGAATTTTAAAAAATCGATTCTTAAAGTAATATGAATACTGATTAACAGAGTGTACTTGAAGCAACAAATAAAATGACAGATGATTGATCATTCGAGGGTTGTATAGCTCATACCCACTTCCACTTTTTTCCAGAATTGCGGTCACTGCAGCCATTCAATAAATGTTCCACAAGGTATTCGTTTCTTCATTTTAAATTGATATGTTGATAAGGAGTGAAGTGTAACAAACACAGATCAATGACGGACTCATCTTACTAACAATGAATTGTACATCTGTTATCTGTTTACATAGAAAACTTGAAAACTTTAAGATTGATTTTTTTAGTCAAAATAGAAGGATAAATATTTTGAATTGATATGAATGGATTTAATTTTTAATTTTTGAGTTAATAAATTATGATTTCATCTACAAAAAAAAAATCTAAAAATAATTTGGCTAATTATTTGTGTTTACCATTTTCTAAATGACTTCTTAATTGTAACCTACATTGCATTAAGTCTGATAAGAAAATATATTACAACATTTACAAGTTTCTAAGAGATACATTATTAACATAAATGAAGCAATAGATGATGATTAGAAAAAAAAAATGGAATTTACAAATGATGTTTTTTAAAATGTTTTAAGAGATCAAATGTTTCAATTTACACATCTTTGTGATAAAATTTGAGAAAAAAAAAACAAAACAAAAAGGAAACTACAAATGACTAAAACAAAATATCCACAAAAAGTGGACTATTAAAAACTACGTGAATACATAAACATTACAAACATTTACATCAGGTTAAAACAGTGCTATATACAATATAAAATATAAATTATCAACTAGATGAATCTGAATCCTCTTCATGATTCTTATCTGAAAATAAAAAAAAACATCAAGTGATACTGATGAATTCACTGAAATATACTTCAAGGGAAAATACCCTTAGTTAAGGAGAATACGCAGTAAAAGTGATAAAAAAAAAAAAAATCAAGATACTTATATTTAAGGTAAAAGTTAGTAATTTATTTCCCAATAATTCTGTAGACTAGGAAAATACTCCAAAGTTTAAAACTTATTTTCATGATTTTAATGGGTTATTAGACAAATCCTGTTTAAAACCACAAAATCAACTTCAGATGGCTTGACAGCCAAAACATGAAAAAAAAGTAAGGTGTTTTTCTAACCTCAAGAAATTCTTTGTAATAAACAAACAAATTAAATAGTAAAAAATAAATTCAAACAAAGTGAGACAAAAATTTGTATAATATATAGGTTCATCATACTATATAACATCATATCTGTAAAATTGGTACAGAAGAGTTAACTCCCAGAAATAAACTGTGGACACAAAATTTAATGACTAATAGGTTTCTCCCAATTTTTTAATTTATGCTAGATAATGGAAGACAGTGCAATTAATGGATAATGGAAACAACTTGATTAATAAAATTTCATGACCATGAAATCCAGAAAGCTGGTCATTTAGACATATTTGAATAATTGGTAGGAACGACTTTTGAAGAATTGATATTCAATAAACAATTATTTAGCTTGTTGTTTAAGAAAGTAATAAATATTATGAAGTTAATCACCTGTTTTAGTCTCTGAGGAAGGTTTAGTTTCTAATGTTCGAGTAAGTTGCCTCGTCCGCCTGATGTTTGGTACCTTTAGAATAAAAAAAATAAACGTATTAAGACTTGGGATATGGCTATTATAAAGATCTAGTATGTTTATGATTAATTATAATAACTTAAAAAATTATATATATAAAGGTATTTTTTCCTTTTTTGTTCAACTGGACAAATAAGAGTTACAGCTACTGTATAATAAAATACATAATCTTAAAAACAATTTGTTCCTGTCATTCAACAATTTAAGTTGGTAGTTAAAAATCTGTTACTTATTTTTCAAGTAAACATAACATTTTGATAAACTTATGATTGTAAAATGGACTGCACTTGGATTTTTGAAAATATGTAATATAAATTCCGCTATCACATCTAGACTGTCAAGAGATCACATTTCTGTTGACTATCTTTGTTTCTCTTGCTATAAATCATATCTAGTAGCTATTTAAATTTAAAATATACATATATTAATATAAACATATTATATATATTTTATTATATTATATTATAATATTATATAATATATATATAGAGAAGGTAAACCAGTCAGAAAACGGAGAAATACAGCGAGGAGAAAACAGTGCAATGGGGAAAGAAAAAGACCAAGAGAAAGAAGAAGGGGAGGATATGTCCAATCCACAAGAAATGGGACTGCACAATTGTGGGATTTCTCTCCTCCTTAACGCCTACAAAGTCCTCTTGGTTATTCTACATGAGATTATCTCCCTACGCTGAGCGAATGGTTGAGGAATATCAACAAGCTTCAGGAAAGGAAGATAGACTATTGACCAAGTGTTCACCTTCAGGATCATAATGGAGAAAGGAATTGAATACAGATACTAACCCACCATTTATTTATGGATTTCAGGAATGCATATGATAGTGTCAACTGACCAAACCTATAAGAAGCTCAGACTAACCTGGGGTTCCCTCAACAGCTGACCAGACTGGTAAAGGTGACTATAGAAGAAATCTGCAGCAAGGTTAAAGTTCGAGGAGATTACTTGAGGAAGTTTTGGACAGAAAAAAATCTATGCCAAGTTGATGGGTTGTCATGCCTGCTATTCATACTGGCCCTGGAGGAGGCAGCTTGAGATTAAGGAATACAGATCACAGGAACCATCATTCATCGATGTGCTCAATTATTGGCCTTTTCAGACGATGTGGAAATAGTGTCGAGGCCAAGGAAAGCTATGGAGAACGCCTTTTTTGCTCTTCAAGTCAGGAGCATTGCATCTTGATTCAGAGGTAAATGAGAGAAAAACCATATTTAGTTGATGAACGATGAAGATGACCGACTCCATCTCTAACAATTGGAAATTTCACATTTGGAAGAGTACCAAATTTCGTGTATCAGGGAAAGCTTGTCACTTCATCTAACATGTCCTTCAAAATCAGCTAGCGGATCACCCAAACCTGGAAGTTGCATTGCACTGCCATTTCCCATCTTTCAGACAGTTTGTTGTTGATCCCATGCAGGTACCAATCTTTTGGAAAGCTATTGAAAAATTTGACTTCCTGAAATTTACTAAATTTTTTTTCTCCTAAATAATAATCTGATTGAGCAAGTTCTGGACTGAATGGTGGATGTGGAGAACGTTTGATACCATCAAGATTTTTAAATTTTTCCTTGGTCTGTTGGGAAGTATGCAATCGGGCATTGTCTCACTATAACAGAACCCCTTTGTAGTTGACCAAAATTGGAAAAGGTGCGATACTTTACAGTACACTCTATCTAAATATTTGCAAAAGAGATCAGTTTATTGTGCATCCATTAGGAACAAAGTCATGATAGATTCCTCCTTTGCAGTTCCAAAAAAACGAGCTGATTCAGTGGCAGAAATGATTTTTTTCCAATAACGACTTAAAATAACAAGAATTTCGTAAGACACTGCCATGTTGCATTTTCAATAGAAATCTTTCGAATCTATTGTTGATAAACAATAAATAGGATTAACATATTCACAGTTCTTGTTTCATTATTTTTTTCATACAGCCTATTACTATGAAGTAACCCATTGTTACTTAATATAACAAATAACTCCTGCTTATGGTAAGCAAAGAAAATTAACAATCATCTTTTTTATGTTGACAACGTTCTCTGAAACATCAAATAAGATGTATTAGTAAAATAAACTACATTTTAAAGGAGTTAAGCTGTCAACTACACCATTGAAGTATGAAACTTCTCAAAGCAAAAACTAAGAAGAAATAAATACTTTTTGTTTTTACAGTTATACAGACGTTTGTTTATTATTTTTGAAAGTTCCTCCTAAATAAATACTATTATGATTTTGATATGTGATCTTATAAATGATCTGTTTCTTTTAAGTAATTACTTACACTTATCTATACATGAAATACATAGTAAGGGAAAGAACTGAGATCAATAAAAAATTTTAATCTAATTCCCAATGGAAATACTCATTTTAAGGATCCCTCAGACAAAAACAAAGTCGTAAGAAACTGAAGAGTGAAAAGTGTTTCTGCCTGGAATGTTATAGCAACTTTTTCAATTAGATCGGCTAACTAGATGCGGAACTTTATAAAACCGATTTAAAATTTTTTTATGATTTTTTATTATTTCTTAAAAACTATGGCCTATTATGGCTTCCTCTAAACTAACTTTAATAACACAGTTTATTTTAAAAGGATAAATAAGTCTCTCGTGATTAGTAGTAAAAAAGATGGCTAAATATAAACTATGAAAGAATTTGATAAGTAACAGGAAGAGAACATTGACATTATTACTTACATGAAATTAAACGTTCCTGATAAAGCCATTTTTCCAGTTTGAAAACAAATTTTTGAAAAAAAGAGTGGTAATATTTAATATATCTATAAAATATAATATATTGTTGGAAAGATAAAGATTTTAGAAACATTAATACATTATTGAAAGAAGTTAGTCGACTGTTCTACATATAATGGGTGATAAATATTCAGGACGCATTCATGATAAAGATTTTATTGGAATCTACGTTTCAACCCAAACATGTGGGTTGTAACGTCAACACCAATAAAATCTTTATGACTGCGTCCTAAATATTTATCACCTATGATATGTAGAACAGTCGACTCACTTCCTTCAGTAATGTATTAATGTTTCTAAGAACTAATAATTAACAAAAAACAAAATTTTCAATGCATCAAAGTGTCTATCTGGAATTGTTTAAAAACTTCTTATTGGAGTTTTGTAAGAAGTGCATGCTGCTGAAAACATTTCAAGCAGTGTTTATAAAACATATGATTATTACCAAGGCGCAAGTTTGTATGCAATAAAAACCCCTCAAAATATTCCATAAAATATTTTAAATATACAGTAATAAAACATAAAATATGTAGCGAAATATGCTATAAAAGATCTACACAAATGTGCTTACAAAATGCTTTGAACTAAAAAAAAGAAAGGAATAACTACATCAAGTTGTCTATTGGGAAACCATTAAACAATTTGAAATATAATAAAAAATACAAATATATAAACAATGGTAGTAAAAAGAAAAACCTGATCAAAAAGTAATCAAGGACAATTATTCATAAATAAAAATGGAAATTATCTATATTATATAAAGTACAAAATAGAAATTTCGGAAAAACATGCCATTCATAAGAGCAAATGCCTAAAAGAGCAAATAACACAAACATCCAAATAGGAGAAACTTCCATAATAACTAGGTGAGGTTATTTAATGATTTATTCCAGGATTCTTATTTCAAATAAATTCTGGCAAACTCTAACTTACCTACTGTAAATGACTAACCTTACACAATACACACATATTTATGTAGGTGTTTATTAACCTACAGTTAATAAACATATTTGGATAACTCACGGAGGTTTTAACGGAACCTCGGAACATGGCTAGGCTACTACACAAATAAATGCCTACAATCAACATCAGAAGGCTGAAAAGAAGATGGAAGAAGGATCTCCTCGATTAATAAATTTAGTTTGATTTCACGCCAGGAGGATAATATTTAACGTTTGTATGAAAATTAAACTTTGTGCCCTTTAATTAAAAAAATCTGGTATAGAGAACGCATCAAACAACTTTCACTTACCAATCTTAGAGGACATAGGTATTTTCCTTTAACGGAATTAGTTACCATGTTTTTCCCACTCATAGAATCTGTTAAATTTTAGCACTTGTATCGCTTTCCATTTCCTTTTACGACTGTGCATAGCATATCAAACAGTACTAATGATTATTGGGAAAATGGATCTTTTGTAAGATTCTGAGTTTTATTGCAAACATTTATCACGAATCTCATAGAAAAAATAATTTAACGTTAGTAAATATTGTATTATTAGGTTTGCGTGAAAATCTCAACTTTTTGTGTGAAACCCTTTTTAAAACAATTATGGATAAATGATATAATAAAGTTAAACCAACAATATGAAAGCCCTGTACAGAGGGATATCGGGTATCTATAAAGGGAGAGGATCAGCAAAGGTTGGGCGCTCTCTGCTGTTTCCGTATAGCTTTCAACCCTTATTTCTCCTTAGTTACTAATCAGTTTTCTTCATTTATTATATTGGTTTTCAATGTGAAATGGTTAATCATTTCAAATAAAAAATATTAAAGGTACTTTAGAGGAAGACATTTTGAAAATCAGACATTTACATCCTGATAGAGAATATCAATGAGAATTAAATTTGTTAGAGCTGCTAGCTGATTTTGACGAACAAGTTTGCTGTAACATCCCAGGCATGTACAAATCTGAAATATGAAATTTCAGTTGCGTACTTTTGAGCTAGATTGTATTGTTCACATACATAGACACACAGACCTCAAAACAAGTATTTCCGTTGAAAACTCAGATTCAAAAATTTTTAAGATCACAATACTTTCACTTACTATATTTTACATACATAGGTAAGTGAAAATGAAAACACACATCTAATATATATATATGAAACATTGATTCCATTAGTTAAAAAAATTAGTTAAAGTTCATTCTAAATAATAAAATAATAGAAATATAACAAATAATTAGTCTTGCTGGATATTTGATAATAAGATGCAAAATATCA